AAGCAGTGGTATCAACGCAGAGTACTTTTCGATTTTAGAGCGCATCTACATACATATTAGTAGAAAACGTTGCGCTTAGGTCTGCGAAAAGGCACATTTTTCAGATTAGAGGTGCGCAGAACTTGCAGAAGCTGATTTGAAAATCCGTTTTATACCATTCGTATTGGTTAGATGAAGCGATATTCGACTATTACTTACTCCGGTATCTGGGCCTTTCTCCAGGCATCAAAATAACTCATCAATTTCAGCCAAAAATTCGAATTCTCCACTTATTTCGAAACGCTGCCAGCCGCTTGATTGGGAAAGAGTATTTGTGAAAAACCTAAATAGTAGTATAAGGTTTTCAGTACGCATGAGCAAAATATCATTGATTGACAGACACTCACAATGAAGATATTAGCAAGACAACTTGGTTCAACCTCTATCGGCAGAACTTTCTTCATAACCTAGTCGTATCACGATATCGTTTTGGACATTTAACACGTTGACGACCGTGTGTATCCGTGCGTATGCACGCCCTGACCACCTTGTAGCACTTTCGTGCATCAATTTATCATGTGTAAACGAAAATTTCTCAGGTAACTTCTATGCAGTGATAATACTGGTGGCCTGGTTGTCATATAGAACACACGGCATTGCGGTAGCTGTTAAACAGTCCAAACCGCAGCCGTAGATCATCAGTCCATTTTGAGGTGGTCAAAAATGGCTCGGTCGTCAACGTGTTAATATCATCTTGCGCTAATTCTAACTTTTGCAAAAACTTCGAGTAAGTCGAGCTCAGTCCAAACTCATTGGACAATGCTTTGAGTTAAGAAAGTGCATTTGGAAAACTAAACCTACCTCAGGCTATTATTCTTGATCTCATGCATGGTCTTTGCGGGATGCGAAGGTTCCAGTGGGTATTGAGAGCAATTCCCTCATAGATCCAGCGTAACGGTATTTCTCCTTCAAATCCTAAATGCGTACAGGCTGCAATTTCACTAATTTCCTTTTGATCATTTGACATCAATTATTTTACAATACCACCCGTAATTTGTGAAAAAAAATGGCGGCGCCGCGTAAGTTAAGTGCCGCCGCCATTTTTTTTCACAAATTACGGGTGGTATTGTATGTCTATCACATTTTTCGAAATTATCCGATTTTATGTTATAAATCAGCTAGTAAGAATCGGTGACTGCTTCGTCTCATTTGTCACAATTCAGCTGCCAAAATCTATGACTCTAAAGTTCTCCTTTCATTTGCGTCAACATTTTGTGTATTTAAGTGATGTGAAACTATAAAAAAAACCTCCAGTTGTTTGTTTTCTCCATGGTTCCAAAAGGTTTTTGAACTTTAGAATCGCATCAAATTCGTTCATCGTTAAATGCATATCTCAATCGAATGTTTGTTCCAGGTTTGGTTTCAAAACCGCCGTGCAAAATTCCGGCGACAAGAGAAACAGGACAATCCTATTGCTGAGATGCCTCCTGTGAAGCAGGGTCAGATCCCATCATGGTACGCAATCACACAAAATCTTTCTAAAACTTTTTCTCCAGTCAATACGTCGTTAACAATTTAGGTCCTGGATGGCTCAACAATCAAACAACAATAGCAATGAGGAATTTCCACCTCCGTTCACATCATTCGACCAAAAACCTTTTTTTGCTGATCTCAAACCCTCATTTATGAGCTATATGCCATACCAACCATTTCCAAGTGGAGGCTTTAGCACGGGTACACATACCATCTCACACATTTTTGCTCCTACAGTAATCCAACATTCTTTTTCAAGGTCTCGCACCAGTCGGTCTACCGAATGGACTTCCCACGCCAACCGGTTTTCACCAAAGCGCACCGCCATTCCAGGTGCTACCGTATTCCACAGAAAATCATCAATTAGACCATCACCTAGATTCGTTTCCAAATTTGGCTTAGACAAGTAAGCCTGTACAAAATTAAGATCAGTGTCCACGTGAGTGTTAGTGAAATTAAATAAAGATTCTACATGAGTTTGTTTTATGTGTATTGCCTCAATTCCAAACGATTGTTGGTCGCACTGGAGCAACGTAAAAGTTTGTAGTTGAGTCTGTTAGAACGAAAATTTGATTGCAGCATTGTCTCTTCTTGATGAAAAAATTTCGTTGCGGTGTTTTTACTGTCAATCATTACCATGTTCAGGATATCCTTTTGCAATACTGTCTAGACGTGGCATTTGCAGAAAGAGTATCAATATCACGATTGTCATTCAGACATCTTCATTCCCATCGACGATTTCTCTTACAAAAATATTGGTTCGAATTTATATTTAAGGAATTGCGATGTAGCGCAGTAGGCAAGCATCTTATTGATATCAACAAGCCTGCTAGGGCAAAACCACAAGAACTATACACTTCTGACCGAATTTGCTAAGTGACAGTGCAAGAAAACGGAGGCTGAAGTTCAGCTTTCTAAATTTGCTTTTCATTTATCATCAAGTCGACTGCGGCAGGAGTAAGAAAACTGCATGTTACTTAGCAAATTAGCGCTGCCTAAATTTACGGGTTTCATTCTACTTTCAAGTCCCAGATACATTACTAGCATTTATTTGACCTCTGATATCCGTACATGTCCATACATTCGCGTCTATTTTTCAAAAAATGTGAGCGGTATTGTAAACCCACCCTTTCGCAAGAGTGATTGATAGCCTAGCCCCCCTCCCCCGCCTTACCGCTTCCGAAAATCTCTAGGACCACCCTTGTAGGTGGGTATTCTGGTATTACTGTTATTCTGCATCAGGGGTATTCTGCATTACTGTTTCCAACCAATCTGTAGAATATCACTTTATGAGATCGATGTCCGTAATAATCGAGCATGGGACACAATTTGAAGCAAGCGGGCTATGTGCCGATGTAACAAATTAGTGCAAATTGATGATATAGAACATGGTATAAACAATACTGGCAACTATTTTTGTGACATCATTGTTTTCTAATTATTTTATTTTAGAGAATTAACACCATAACTCAAATCCGCTTTCCATGGAAATGACTCGGCCCACACAAAGGTACATAAAGCATTTGGGTTCTTTGTAAGTTGAAGCTTGAAGATCTTGCACGTAATCCTCCCTTGAATTTTTTACATTGAAATGATTGTTTCCATAAATTTACAAGAGCTGAGGGCTAGCGTACATAGACGAAAGCATTCAAACAGCCCTTGAATGGTACATGGATACTTGACTATGGAAGTGCACCTTACAGCATGAAAAGAGTTGCAAAATAAAAGGCTATTCAGCAGTGGTGTGAAGTGTGAAGGAAAACCTATAAAAATGAAATTTGCAACATGTTTAACACTATTGGGAAGACTTTTCAGAAACCTTTTACTGATTTAGAAAGCTCTGCCTTGCTGCAGTATTGCAAAAGCCATATAATTTTGAAGTGAAATTAGGTAGGCTCATCAAAGTGAAAAGTAAAAAGCTAGCAAGATTAAAAAAGCGAACTTATCTATATTCAGTATAATTAGTGTTTTTTTTCAAATCGCTAACTACGCTTAACATCAGATCAACACATCTGAAACATCAGCATCAGCACATCTTTTAACATTAATCAAGTGCTAACAATGCATTTTAAACGTCAATCTGTTCTTCAGCGCACCACAATCTTGTTACTTACTATTCAATTACTCTTATCACCAGTTCTCTAAGCTTACATACACCCCTGCAGCGCTTTTCTTGCCGAGCAATCGGTCGGCGGTGGTTTTCTCGAAACCGCAATATGAGGCACGATAGCATCGCTCATTTCCTGGCGAGATCGTATCGCCAGATAACCGCGAGCAGAAGCGGCGGAATTTATGCTGCACTCCGCGCCCCACTTATCCCTCACCCAAGCCGAAGCCGCTGCTACACAACTCTCCGACAAAGAGCTATTTCTCTAGGGTGAAGTTATTCTGTACGACGCATGTCTTTTGTCTTTGTCAATATTTAAAGCCAACACGTTGCAAGTACACTCATTTCTTCTTTTCTGTGCACAACAGCTTATGCTCGTATGGCTATGAGAAATTGATACTTTTTTCCAAGTATTAGTATCGTATTGTCACAGTACTTTAGTATCGTCACATGAGTTTTATTACACTTAACGAACCTTGATAATTTCCTCAAAAAATGTTCTTCTCAATTCAATCATGTAGAATGTTCTGGATTTTTATGTACATGTCATACATGAAAGATACAATTTTGAATTTTTTCACAATTTTTCTATTTTTTTTTTGATAAATCTCTAACTTCCTCTATCAAGAAACCTAGAATTTCGAACTGCTTTCGAAATTCTAACTTTCTTGACTCACTGATGCTCCCTAAATTCCATGGAAAAAAATCTAAAAAAATGAGAAAGAAGAATAAGTGATTTTTAAAAAAATAGGCTGAAGTACCGTTAAAAAATTGCGCGAATTTCTCGTGCAATTCTCTGATCTCATTTAAAGAAGGTGTAAATGATGTCAGCGGAGAGCTCTTTGTCTCTTTATCTCCTTCCCATATGCAGCAAATACTTCTAAAGTTTTCCAGAGAAGAAGAAGTGTAACAAAACTAATATTTGCTTGGCTTTGTGTTCCTATATAGAAAAATCGGAAAAATTCTAAAGTTTACAGCAAACAGCTGATGTGCACTGCAAGCCAGATAAAATCACCACATTGGCGCATTCCTACTTTATGTAATATCGCAAATTTCTGCTCGAAGTGAGAGTTTGCTGTTCGTACGCACCAAGAGTATGCTTTATTTCCCTTTATCAGATATTATCAACTTCAAATCTTATGGACACAAGGAGGGAGGTGGGGGCTTGCGACTATAGCCAGTACACAAACACACATCCAAAGCAGGGTGGGGGGGGGGGGGGGGAATTGGGACAGGCTCTCCTGATAGAGGAGCGCGTCAGGAAGCAAAGGGGCAACCCGTACAGTTATCAGAGCTGACCGTCGGAAACCTGACATATTATTAGCAAACGTCTTATTCTTAGTAGCTCAAATTTGAAGCTTCAATGTCATCTCGCTAGCGCGCAAAAAATTTCGAATCGTTAGACAACACTAATGCACACACCTGTGCAAACGCAATTCAGCTTTGAATTTGTCAAAATACGATCTATAAGAAAATGATAACCCATCAGTTTGTTTACAAGGTACGAGAAATACTACACTACCGAATCTAATGTGGGGCTTCGCAACGGTGATTAGAGTAAAAGTGTGAAAAATTACAAAAAGATTATGTGAATGGAAGAACTGCAAGTGTTCTTCTATTCTAAGTTGCTCATACGCAAGTTGGGAGCACCTGACGTTGCGCGAGGTAGATCAAAATCATAATTATCTTCTTCTCACATAATTTTACAATTTTTTTCGCAGTATCCAAACATTAGCTCGAGCTTCAATCAATGGTAATCATCTTCCAGCTCTATACCCTCTGTCTTGATGATATTGAAACCCGCGGCTTCATCCTGTTTCAACTTTGACTTTCCTTGTCCTTTCACTTCCAACATTTATACGTGATAAGCACCACGTATTTCCACTTTTCCGAGATCGTCCAACCCTAGATTTTTGACACGCATTGTTTCTACAAGGCTAGTTCAAACTTTACACAATTCCGATCCCGGTATAATCAATAGACCTTGAGAAGGACATGATCAATAAAAAATTACCCAAAATATTAGGTTGGTGCAAAAGTTCTTTCGCACCAAATCCAAAAATTCATAACTTGTTGACTTCTCAACGAATTTATAAGATCTAAATTTTGTATAAGAGAGGAACTCATGCTCTTTGCAACTGTACTTGAACCGTTCGTTAATGTGTACAAATGAAGGAGATAGAAGCTCAAAACCAAAATCACTCAAAATTTGAACTTTTCGTGTAGGGTCATAAAAAATCGGAAACTTGTAACAAAAATCGGAGCAGTCTGTAGGCTCTTTCACAAGCTCTTTCTAACAGTGCAAAGTTCGCGCCGATTGAGCGCCTCTGTGAAAAGTTATGGATTCCCTGAAAAATGCCAAAATAAATCAAATTCGCCCTTTTGTATTGCTTGTTCGAAAACCATAACTTTTCATAGAGACGCTCAATCGGCGCAAACTTTGCACAGTTAAAAAGAGCTGGTGAAAGAACCTACAATACCGACTGCTCCGATTTTTGTTGCAAGTTTCCGACTTTTTATGATCCTACACGAAAAATTCAAATTTTGAGTGATTTTGGTTTTGAGCTTCTATCTCCTTTATCTGTTCTCGATAGCGAACAGTTCAAATACCCATGCAAAAAGCATGAGTTCTTCTCTTGTGCAAAATTTAGATCTTGCAGATTCGTCGTTGAGAATTTAACAAGTTGTGAATTTTTGAATTTGGTGTCTTTTGTTATTAGGTTTTATTAGGTTGGTGCAAAAAATCTTTTGCACCAACCTAATAAAACCTAATACATATTTTTAAGATAGTCAATCACTAGCAAAGCCTTTTCATTATCCCGAGTTACTTGGAGACAATCAGAATGTATTTTTTCAAGGGAAACCCATTTGACAATGTGAACCGGGCGTAGAGCAAAATAGGCCAAATCGCCCTCGCCTTGACTACCTCTGAAAGTCAAGAGACACACTTATTTTTAAAAAAGCATAAGCAGAGTCATATCGCCTTATAAAAATAAAACTATTAGGTGATCAAGAAAATAATGTCGTTTTTCATAGCAAAGCCATAAGGCAAATCCAAAAAACTATGTGAGGAGTACCGTTCGATAGAGCAAAGGGAGCTCTACAAGATGGCATCCGAACATTGGCAAAACTTGCTGTTTACGCAAGGTTCAAAGCCAAAACATACGAGCAACTCGTGATGCCAAAAATTGGATTTTCGCTCTAGAAAATCCTGCAAACCTCTCACTTGCTCCTGCTTGTAAAGGACACATGCACTTATCCATCGGTACACTTGCTATTTTTCCATGCTTAGAAA